ATAAATTGCAGTGCATAAGGGTAAAGACTTAACATTGTTTAGCATCATTAGCTGCAGTTCCTTTAAACTAGATTTAAAAAAAAACTCCCTTCCATGTTTATCTTGCCTTGATGCCAGATCATATTTCTTGGTGCGAGTTTTGGGTTTCTCATAGTGTACACTGCAGTAGTTTTCAGACCTCTGTTTTATTAAAACAATATGTCAGCTTGGAGAAGGGTCTGGAGTACCTGTTAGCACAGGAATTTCAGCTGAGTAATGGATCAATGGTTTATATTGACACTAGGGTCTAAGAAATAAAATCACTCTCTACCTTTGCCATTGACAACTACGTGTGAACAAATATTGGCCAGGATACCAGGGTGGTGGTTGAAATTGACCTTTATTTAAGAAAATAAATCATGTCTGGAAAGGAAAACAGCAAAGCCAGTTTCAGTGTCATTCAGAATAATGAATAACCAAGAATGTACTACCCAAGAAAAGAGCAATTTCTTACCGTGATAAGATTTGAGGCACTTGTTTCAAAAGAATATGGACTGTTGGGTTGCACAGGGTAAGAGCTGTTAGATTGGTAGAGTGTTAAACATTGTCCCTGATAGAATCTGGACTCTGGATGCGATGTTCTGCTCTTAGGAATAACAAGAAATCTGAGATCGCCATAAGTGATCTTAATGGGTATTCAATTAATGTGTAGTTTCATGTACATCAAATGCCAGTAAATATGTATTGTCTTATTAATTAAATCAGTACATCACATGTGCAGAAACATTCCAGTTTGTTTTACACTTACCTTGTACAGACCATTGCAGCAGAAATATCTTCCAGGGGGAAAAAAAAAGTTCTCTTAAAGCTGGCTGTAAAATAAAAGATGATTGATGGGCTGTTCTCCGGAACCAGCTGTGCATTAAAGCCTGCTGAAACATTCTTCCCCATTTTGCCATTATCTTCCATCATCTGGGTCGTGATGTGAGCAGTTCTGATGGAATCGTGTAGGACTGGGTCAGCAGGCTGGGAGCCCGCAGGGCTGAAGACAGGGGCTGTCAGGGCGCCCCCTACTAGTAAGATTATGAAGTGCGCTTGTGGCGCGCATCAGCACGAAACGCTTGCCTCACACACGAGCCTGACGTTTACGCCTAGGGGGGTCACATGATCGCTTGCGGTGATCCAGAACCTCCGTTCGGCTGTGTGTCTCTGAGCCAGTAGCGTCGGTCTGCTCTGTAGGCGTGCGGCTTAGAGTCTAGTCTGAGAAAAAGTGCAGGCAGTCGCACGAGACCAAAGGCCGGCAGTGGCTGTGTTCAATCATCCTCTCTGCAAAACAGTCCACAACACAGGAGCCCATTGTCTAACAGGCTGGTCGTGGAGCCAGGCTAAAGTTAGGGTTCTGGTTAGACCGGGGGGGGGGGGGGGGGCTGTATTTCTCATCGCTTTGAAGGGAGAAGTTCGGTGGGCTCCAGTTAGTTATAAAGTGAAATGCAAAGTTCGCTTTCCTATATGGATTAAGTTACAAGGGAGAAGAGCAGCAACTGCTCTCACATCATCCAGGTGGTGGGGGAGGGGATCCCCATTTACTGTAAAGCGCTTTGAGTGGAGTGTCCAGGGCAGCGTAAGAAACGAGTAGTGGTAGTTGTAGTTAAGCTGGTTACACACCCAGTGTGGGCAGGGTAGTAAGCCCAGGTTTTCACTGTTTCCCATGTTTATGATTAATGGGTGCACCAAATGGTTGGTCTTTTGTGCGTAGGGTCCCCCGCGCCAAGCTACCTGGCACCCCGGAACCCAGAGAAACCTCCTGTTTTTGTTGGGTGGGACCTGGTCTGGCGTGGCGGTGATCAGGAGGGACAGCGGGGGAATCGCAGGCTAGGAGCTGGAGCAGGAAAGAGCCGAGCTCTGGGCGGGAGAGGGAGAGCAGATGATGTCAACTACAGCGAGCCCCTAACCGGCGGGCCTGTCTGCAGGCCCACAGCCTGGCAGCGCTCTGCGGGCCAACAATAACACAGGCGGGGAGGCGGGGAGCGCGGACAGGAAACCGCGATTTCACATCGCGCCTCGTGTCGAGGTTCTGCGGGAATCTTGGGCAAAATTTCCCACGGGATCTCCCCCCCCCCCCAACATACACACACACAGCTCCCCGAGAGAGAGAGCAGGGGGCAGGGTTCAAATCGGAGTCAAGCCAGCCCTCTGGCCTCTCACTGCCCAGCCTACGGATTAGGGCTCCTGAGGGGCTTTTTCTTTGTTTACTAGGTTTTATGTTTCCAAGCAAATGACATCACCCCTTGCAGCGCTGTAAAACGCTGATTGTGAGTATAAAAGCCAGTAGGGGAAGAGTCACTTTGACCTCATAAAACAGCCGGCCTCCCAGTTCCTGATAGCTGACTTCCAGCCTTGTCCCCCCTCCCACAGCAACTCGCGCTGTTTTTTCTGGCTCAGTTCTAACTGGAAAAGCATCGATGCTGTCTGCCCCTGCCCACGTTCACAGTCCCACACCTACGCACTGACGGCTCCAGTTGGGGAACCACACCCTACCGAAGTGTGAAAAAGCGATTTTTTTTCCTTCTGAGACACCGTACGTGTCCACCAGAGGGCGCCCTCTCTATTCATTTCAGGCTCCGTTTGCTGAGGGTTGCGGGTAGCGTGGCGCCGCAAGGCTCGATCTTCTACAATCGTGACGTTCTTCTCGTGATCTGTTGCGGTGCGATTGATGGGACTTTTGTTTTATCCTTCCCTGTCCTCGGTGAAAATAAACATCGCTGAGATTT